ATACTTTTTTTTCTCTGTCTAGGAGAAGTAATATATTTTGAGAAATTTTTATTTCGCTCGCCTGTACTCCAACGGAAAACAGAAGTCAGTTATTGCTGCTGGTAATCTAATAAGTATTTCAAACTATTAATCTTATAGTTTAATAAGATCTCCTTCTATTTATGACTGATAATGTTTATTTGAGATTGTGTTCAAGCTATAGTGCCCTAATAGTTATACATACTGCAAGAATTTTAAAATCCGTTATTGAAAATATTCTATATAAAAAACTCGTTTAATATTAGTGTTACAGAGCTTCTTGAATGGTATTTGCTTGCCTTAAAAATTCATCGGTTTTTTAGTTCTTTTCTACATTTCGATGCTCTGAAACCGAAATCAGAGAACGGCTCAAGTTATGTTAAGGTTATGTTATGGTTATTCCTGATATCTTTATGATAATCATAAATAAAAGTGCGACCTAATACGACTTGAAGAATAGGAATTGAAAAAAATAAAAAAATACTTATTAAACAGAATATTTTGTAGTGCGGATGATCCCAAAAAAAAAGAAAAAAAATTATAAAGATGTATAAAGTTTCAGAAAATGTTATTGAATACACTAATAATTTTTTTTGTTATAATGGAAAATGTACACTAAAGCACACCTAAAATTAGGATTATTAATGTGAAAGTATTAATATATAGGACACAATATCCTATATATCTCTCTTAAAGAGATATCGTAAGAATTATCCTTAAGTCCCTCTCTTCAAATAGACTTAACATACACAAAGCTTAGCATATAACCTTGTACTAAAGAGTTACTCGTCAAGTATAAAAACATCTATACCCAATCGCAATAGTACTTCATATGATGCTTCCCTTCTATACTCAAGTCGTACCACACTTAATGTGTGACCAATTACAGCTCTTATTGATATGGTTCACCCATCTGTTCTAAGGCTCGTTTCAATTACCTATTCGCTGATACCAGCAAAATATACTTATTTATTTAATCGCTACGGACCTCTCTATATACCCCATTTCACCCACGTAGTTGCTTTTTAATTTATTCATGCTTCTGTAACAGATTTTCAATAAGTTACAGAAATTCTTTCAATGCATTCTCCATCCTTTTACAACTCTCAATTGACTTACACCTCTTCATTGCACATTACTTTTCTACTATATTTCCATAAATTTTAATAAATAAATAATACAGAAAACGACAAAATTTAAAACTGCATAGCTTCGTGATATTGAACGTCTAAACTTTATAGTATGAAAGCTTTTAGTTCAGAAGAATTATGTGTATAATCCTTAACTATCTTAGAGATTTGGCATTTGCATAGGTTCCTTTTTAATCTTACATCTTCAAACAAATTAGATTTTAGAGTTACCTCTTCGACCGATGTCGAATATATGTGCTCCTTCAACATACATTGTTTTTTAACTAGTTTGTATCATTTAACTAGTTTGTATCACTTAACTAGTTATGGTTTTCAAATACTTTTATTTGGTTAATTGTTATTGTAAATAATGTCATTCTCAAGTGTCTTGGCAGCGGTTAAGAATGGTGCTTTAAATTTTTTGTGTTTAAGTACATTCGAATTAGAATGTTGGATTAAAGAATTTTGGATTAATCAATTACAATATTTGAAAATGTTCAAGATGCCTGAAAATATTGGAGTTAGTCGAAGTCTCTTCTGCTTACTATTTGCTATTCTTTTTATTTTGTTTTAGACAAAATCTTATAATAGGTAATACTAAACACAATATGATGTTAAAACAACTTCGAAGAAATATTAGGAATTCTCCTGATGAAGGTAAAAGCAAATTTGCCGAAATTCGAAAGTTAAACTCCTAAAAAACAAAACCGACTTTAAATATTTTCGAACAATTCTATATGGTCGACCCAACTCCTAGACAACCAAC